CTAATATCGAATCTTTTATTAACAATCTAAAAACATAGTGTCAGCACTGAAGGTAGAATGATACATGTTTCCATTCGCAGCAAACAACGACAATCAAATGATGACCCATTCAGACTGAAGTTTTACTCTCAGGCCCACAAAGTTCTGCTTCCTATTCCCTGGCATCTTAAAACAGGGTGAGTTTAAGTAGAACTGTTATTTTCTTGGTCTCTGTTTTCATTTTTGGCACTTTGACAATGTCAGCAAGAGAGGCGAGGTGATATTGATTTCAAATGAAATGAACAACACTTCAAACAGTACTTCAATCCTGGACGAAATTGTTGGGACACTTGGTAAAAGCCGTACACTCTCCAGACCCCTCCCTCCACTCCATGGTCAATGTTGTCATGCCCAGTCGGAGCGCAGACTGTGCGCATAGACCCAACACTGAAAGGGAGTTTGGGGGTTGGAGGCCCGAGATTTGTCCAGGATTGCAGTTGCATGCTTAATCCTCTTGACCTTTTTTACACCACATTCAATCCAGAATTGACACTTTATTTCCAATTTCACATTTTCCCAAAATATCCCCTACCAAACTTTTGGGTAGATAAAGACAGGAAGCTTGTAACTTGTTTTTCAGCTTATGATTGATTGTACTCAAAAAAATGTGAAAATGCATGTGTGGATCACAGAATTGTTTTAATTAAAAAAAAGCCAAAAACAAAAACTCACATCTAGGGTTCCTCTGGCAGTTGTAACATTTTGAACCTCGCACGCAACAAATGGTTGGAACCATCCTCACTGAGCCGATTCCTACAAATTTCAATACTTCTCAGTATTGACCGTGAAGCTTTTCTCAGACTTGCAAGTGTCCACCCTGGACAGAAATCATACCACTGTCCAGTCAGGCACACAACTGCCATGCCACAACTAATTTCTTTACACAGATGTGTGTTTCTTTCATTGCTGGGCATTTTGAAGTTACAGCAGCAAAGTGAAAAAAAACCAAAATCAAAACTTAGGAAACTAACTTCTTGCTGACAGTCCAGTGGACATGTGTGAACCCATAGCATAATACTGGTCTTGTTTCATTGTTGTTTGCATCGTTTTCAAATGTCAGCACAATCTCAAGTTCAAGGCAACTTTCAAGAGAAAAAGTCTGCACATGGCATCAAGACCAGAGTGACACCACTTCCTGAACGTGCCACAACCTTGCCAGTAATGGTTAACAATTCCCTGTCTCCATAGCAATGAAAAATACAAGAAATGAAAAGAGAGGACAATAGACTATCGTCAGTGAATAAGTAAACTGCTTCATCAATTGTCTGCTAAGCTGCTGACTTAACTTTAAGTTTGCTGCTGACACGTGAGTAACAGAGGGGAACAATTTGCACAAGGGACAGCTGAATTATCGTTCAACCACAAGAGCCTAGGGTAGCAAGAAGCCCGCACACGGGGCAGGACAGACATTTGTTGAGAAAGTGCTTCAAAATTTTCCCAGACAAACAACAGTCATGAAAGCACCCCGCTGAAAAGCAGCTCAATCTTTTATTGGACAAATAAATAACAACAGAGCAGAACAGAGCGGTTCAGAAACTGACTGTGAAATGTAAGTTAACTAAACAGAGCAAGGTAACAAGTACCACCCATGCATGATTAGTGGTTCTTGGCCATTTGCAAGATTTTATGGTTCTGTAACGTCTCTCTCAGGGTAGACAACCATTATCAAAAATAACGATACAAGTAGAGAGTCATTGGATTGACTTACACACACTACTAATTTATTCTGAAGAATTATTTACATCGTCTCCATATTTACAATAAGCAACTTGATCAAATCGGATACTTCTGTATGGGATGTTCATTATAGGAACACTAATCCGAGTACAACTGGTCCAAATATATGCTGTTTATTTGGGAGTGACAGATAGGTTCTTCATGGCAGAGCTATATGCTCACGAACGGTCAAGGAGTTGTTACTCCAGAGCGGCCCACTCTGGAATGATCGATGCTGACCGCTGGATGGAGTTGGTCGCTTCTATATAGACTTTTTGCCGCTATGTACAATGCATGTAATGTGAATAGTCATTGCATGCTTGCTATGGACTGAGAGCGTAGTGTGTGTAACAGAAATAATGTGTACGCTGTAATCTACATGCATGTAAATGTTGCTAGTTATAGTTATAACTCTTTTTTGAGTATGTGGGATCCTGAAAAGAACCGGTGGTACTCAACGTTTCGGACAGCATGCTCCGTCCGTCGTTGGGAGACTGCCTGAAAGTGAAGTCCGACAACTACGTACTGTGCAGTAGTGGAATGAAATGTTAATTGTAATATCCAAGAGTTCCAGTTACGAAGTCAGGAAAAACTTTAATGCTCAACCTAATCCTTTCACCTTGGAAAATGCCACAATGCACACCCAATATTACTATGACAGGACCTGCCATCACATCATCAAGTTGGATAAACATTCCTATGGTTTCGTTTTGGAGAAATGGGTGTGAATTTTACTACATCTTTTTATCTTAATTGTAAATTGTACAAACTATGTGCATTTTCTCTGCGGGGGGATGACCCATTACAAACTTCCACTTCTTGTCTAACCGCCCCCATACTATTATAAATAAATTCCATTAAATTTTTTTTCTCCACGAGTATTCAACTACTTGATAGTACGGAAATAAACATTGACCTGAATCAACTGTACTAGCACCTGTTAATTAAAGAAGGGGATTAGTCTCAGCAATGCTGACGGATTGCTTATGGAATTCATTCAATGCAACTGCACCAGGCAATGTATCTTGAATCGTACATGCAGTTCAGCCACCAACCACCACAATCTGATACATTTCTCGGTACTGCAATCTAATCAATCACAAGTCGATGGTGAAAAAAATGGAAACAAGTTTCCGAAAGTTGCTCACCAATTGTAGTCACCTTAAATCTACAACACTGCAAAGTCCAGTGCCTGATGTAAACAACATTTTTTCTTGGACGTGCCTTTGAGTAAAAATTCTGTTTGGCTTTGAGATTCTGCTGTGATCAAAATATAGATCAACCCAAAGATTTCCAGTGACGTTTGAAAACTTTTGTCTCAAGTAAAAAAGAAGAAAAACTGGAATTTGTTTTCACCTAGCCAGTACGTAAATATACTTGTAGGTTTATCATTGAAAGTTCAGATGACATCTGTTTGTTACAGGTGTTTTCTACTTTCCTTTAAAACTGATGCAACCAGAGGAATCAACTGAGCTACAAAAAAATGTCTCATTCAATATCACCATCACAGCATATCAGACTGTTCACCAGTGATTTAATGATTGTTTATGGCTTTGTCGGTGAACAGGTAGTTTTGCTTTTATCACTGATGTATATATTCAGAAACACTGTAATACTAGGAGCTTCTCTGAGAACTTGTGAAAAAAGCTTACTCGGGTGGGGCTCGAGCCCAAGACCTCCTGCCTACTAGTGTTTAACCGAGTTTGCCGGGGTCAGCTAGCCGGTCCAGGTCAGATGTAGCAGTGGGTACTGCAAACTGCTAGGCTATCTTGAATTCAGTTCAGTTGCTCCATTAATTGATTGCATTTGCCCTTTTCATTCAAAAACACCTTGTGACAAGGAAAGCTTTCTTTCCAGAGGTGGAAAATCTCTGTTTAAGCATTGTAAGCAAGATACGGTGGAGGGAGGTGACAGACACAGGATGCAATTAAAATAGATGTACACCACTGGATGACGTGGATGGTAAAAATCCTTTACTTTCACAATCATTGGTGATTAGGCCTTACGTGAAATTTGGAAAACCAACAAATTGGCTGTTTGATCAATTTAATTGAAATTTCTATCTAAAAAAAAACAACCAAAACATACAGGCTTTCTGACATTATTACCAACATGATATCACAGTGCCATTTTCGAACTGATGCCACTTTCAATCTCAGATATAAAGCTGGATATGTTATACGTTTTAGTGGAGAATACACAACTGAGGCTCAGCTAAAATTATTTGTGATCGAACTTCCTACGACACATCACAAATTTTCATGATGTCTGATGGACCCTACATGTAAATCTCAGACTTCCATGAAAAAAAGGGACTTCATAATAGATTAAAGTGACACTTGTTATGAAAATAGTAATTTTTGCAAGGCAAAGATAAGATGTTTTGCAACGCATCTGCTGTTACACAACCTTTTTCCATAACTGTTATGAAATCAGTCAACTTTCCAATTCGACAGGAAAGAAGTGAAAATGCTTCGGGACACACACCAAAAGAGAAGTGGCGTGCTTGAATGATTCTGATCTCAAGCCAGAACGAGGGGGGGATCTTTCATTGCAAAACCTTTACTGATCTGACCCAACACTATATGGGGTTCGGATCAATAACCCCGAAATGCCCTAACAGTTTCAATGCCTTTAGCTTGAGGCATCAGACAAGTCAGCTCGGTCAAACGTTGTGCGTGGAGCAGCATGTAATCCAGGGAAGAAAAAGGAACACTGAAACATGTACTAATGCTTATTGTACGTGTTTGCAGTAACATAACGCAGCATCATATGCACATTGCTTGCTTCCTTATCATTAAGAAACTCACAATGACACACTGACGCAAATGCCCATTATAGGGCTATCCATTCTATAAATACACTGCACAACCATTACACAGAACCACTTGCATGACAATGCTTCACCAGCAATACCCCAGAACCTGTAGGTGCAGCAGCAAATAAACATGTACCAAAAGTGTATTTGAAAAACTACAAAGACAAAAACAAAAATGACTGACAAAAGATTTGTGACTTTATGTAACCTTTCACAGCCTTTCTAAGGGATGAAGCTGAATTTGCGGGCTTGTTACACACTTTGGAAAGGGAAGTAACATTTTCCTTTAAAATCGCACCTCTTTCATTTCATTTCAAAAACCCTGCTCCTTTAGGTGGGGTCTGGGCCCCCATTAGCTCCCCGTGGATCTGGAAAAAAATCACAGTGGCAGCTGCAATATAAACTGAAAAGAAGCATCTATACTTACCCGGTACGCAGATGAAGTCGGTGGCACTGTAGAAGCAGTTTTCATTGGAACGGCAGGGGTTACTCTGACAAGGGTTCAACACAGGAGCTGGAGAGATACCCCAAAGAAATCACATTGTCAAATTCAAAATTGTAGCTGGACACTTTCTACAAAGCTGTTGCCTGTGCCGTTAACCAAAGCTCCATAAAGTGTGACTAGGTCCCTCAAAATGGCTCATAAAGCCACGTTTGTTTGTTTTTTTGGGGGGGTATGTTTTAAATTTTCATCAGAAAGAGCAAACTGAGCCCCTTCTTTAGATTTCAGTGCTCAGCTCGGTAACCTATTGAAAACAGACATTTACATAATGTAAGATTCATTTAAAGGTAAATTCAAAAGCAGCTCTCACGACTTCCAACTCACTATGTCAGATTCCATCACAAAAACAAACATTTTTTTGAACATTTCACAGCCAAGACATGACTTGCAGATGTCAACACTGGAACATTAACATTTGAAACATTCTGTACTTTAAACCTAAATTCCTTCCGCATTTCTTTCTTGAAACCTTCCTTATTCCTCCAAAATCTTCCATCGTGCAGGAAGCCAATGTGCTACTCTTTGTAAGAAAAGAAACTTTTCTGAGGTATCCAAGTGGATTTCAAAGCAACCCATGAAAGGGAAAAAAGAATCACATGACATGGATGCACCAACACACAGCACTGATTTTTCCCCCAATAAAACAGCTTTGATAATGATTTAATACATGTTGTGTTTCAAAAAAGTTGCAATTGCATAATCCCTTCTTGCCCGTTTGATAACAGAGTTGGGTAACACATCACTACCAGTTGGATAACAAGTTACTAGACCTTCCCAACAGCCAACACAATCAATCAAACAACAGCATTTGCCAAGCCCTGACTTGTCTTACAATGCCGTGGTTCATAGCACTCTTTGCGCAGACAACCTTTAACGTTCAGACTGGTCTCCCGAGCGTGACTCAAAAAAAGACCTTCTTTTATTTGCCGCCCTTGTATCATGCATCAGTTGCTGTAACGCTTCTTTTGTGCAGCGACATATTTAAAAAATATGTTGAATCATCAGCAAGGGACAATTTAAAGTGTTCACATGTTACATCAGCCATGCACCAAGTTATACAACTCCCATTTTTGAGACGATACCTTTAAACAGGGGTTTGAGTGGCCAGGTAAAATCAAAGCTGAAAATGGGTAGCAAAAAGCTGAAATGTAGAAAGTTCCCATACTTTTGTACAGACCTGGTGAGTAAAAAAGCTGAAATTCAGGGTCAACATCTAAAGAAAAAAGGCTCAAATCAGCTAAAAAGCTGAATTCTCACACCCCCCAATTAAGTAATCATAGGAGGTCATTGAAACAAGTGTGTGGTCATTCTCTTGGTGACTGGGATAAAAGATACCTACATGAAGTTGTTTTAATTAAAACTGGTGGTTTCTAGCATGTTTGATGTGTGGAAAGAGCCAGCTACACCCTCACATGTGCGATGGAGGTCATCCAAGAGCAATTGCTGCATGCGAGGTAACACGACCTGTATGGAGCTGTGGTGATGTACTTTGTTCCCAAATGACCTGCCTCTTTCAAACACCATCCTAATTTAGTGCTAGAATTTTCACAGATTTCTTTATGACCTAATGCCCACTCTCCCCATCGTGCTATGTATTGTCAGAAAGCTTAGTCTTTTCAGTTCCTTTACTTCGATTCTCACAGATTTCGTACTTTTCTTTTTGTATGCTGTTACCAAAAGGCCAAAAAAGTTGTTTGGTCTTACTTGACAGTGTGATATTAAACTCGCAGGTGGCCGAGTTGCCAGCTGGATCAGTGAAATTGTACATGACGACTGTAGTACCCTCTGCAAACACATCCCCTGGGATGCGATTGCTCTCAACTGTAGGCTGCACACCGGAGTTATCAATGGCAGAGGGCGGATTCCACGTGATGATCATAAATTGGTTCCCTGCAGGGATGACGTAAGCTTGGTCTGGTGGGCAGTTGACAATGACCGGTGGGATCACGTCCTCTGTGGGCAAATCAAATCACAACCAAATCAGCATAAATGTCAAACATAAGAGGATTGGTCAGTTCAGGTCAAATTAAACAAGGCCACTCCTTGCTTGACTAATTCCAATCATTTCTGCTGATATCATGTAGAGATCAAATTATTCAGATACACTTATTGGAATCGAATCAGGGCACACTTTCAAAGACTGATTAAATCATGAATCAAATCAAATCAGATCATGATACAAAGTAAGTAGGCGACACACGTATACATGAATCACATGTAACTGCAGAGGTTAAATGGCAAAGAGTGCAAATGCAAGATGCAAGACCTGGCAAAATGGGATGCCCAGGTAGGTCACGCAAAGGTAATCAAATCGTATCTTTTCACTTATGGCATATCCAACAATTTTCCTCTGTGTTTCATGGGAAGAATTTTCCGCTTGAACTGATCTTAAGGTATTTCAAGAGAGAGCGTTAAATGTGCCTTGCATTTGATCTTCACACCAGAAGACGACATGGCTGTTGTCATCCCCACCATTGTTATTAGTATAAAGAACCAGGTCATATTCAAACTACATATACTTGGCTACGGCTGAAAATACATACAAGCTTATGGAAGCCAGTAACTACTGGCTAACCCTAAGCTGGACCAGTGGAGGGCGCAATTTCCCTAGCAACCGAGACTCCTCTGGTCTAAACTGCACGTCACTGCTTCACGAACGATTATGAAACGCACAGGTTATGGTCACGTCACTACCAGCAAAATGAACATTCCTGACCAACCTGGCTCTGTTTAACCAATGAGGGGGTGCTTCTGCTCAAAGCAGATGCAGCAGTATCCCCTCAGACATGTGTGTTTATGCAAGCCACAGCCAGTCACAGCACAACCATGTTGAGGCAGGGTTGGCAGATATCCTGGCATATCCCCTTTTTCCTGTAGACCTACCTTCTCGTTCCACGCTGATGACAAAGGAGCAGACGGCCTCATTTCCGGAGCTGTCGCTGAACGTGTACGTCACCGTGGTTGCGCCCTCTGGGAAGACCTGACGTGGCTGGTGGGTGCGGTCCACAGATGGCACCACACCCGAGCTGTCAGTGGCAGAGGGCTCCACCCAGGAGACCACGACGCCGCCCAGCTGTGTCAGTGGGAGAGTGACATTCATGTCGGATGGGCAATCAACGATGACCGGTGGAATGTCATCAACTAGGGATTGATACATTGAACAATGGGTTAAGTATACATGTTTCTGAAGTGCGCATATCTTGCAATATTGACTGTCAAAGTGTTGGCCCTTTATCAACTCGCTGCTCATATTCACTGGGCCTACACTGCAAACATGGTGAAAAAGTGCTGTAGCCAACTCCATCACAAGTCCCTCCAAGTTAATAATCAGTCATAAGCAAAGTCAAAAGCAATTCAACTGAACTGTATCGAAAGCATAACATTGTCAGTGTTCACGCTATTAACTGATCTTGTGAAAGGACTTGTAAAGGGACTTGTGATGGACTCAACTACAAGATTGGACAAAGTATCCAAAGATGACCACAATCTTGTTGCAGTCAGGTGACTTTATCAGTACATTTATGTCAGTTTTCTTTTTTTATCTCTGTGTGAGCAAAAATATATTCCTTACAACTATTAATAAAGGTACGAAATGAAATGGAAAACAAGAGAAAGTATGATAGCTTGGGGAATTAACTGCAGAAGATAATTAGGTTGGTAGAAGTAGAAACAGTTTCATACGCTTTCAGGAATTTACATTTTTGTTAGTACAATAGATGCATAAAGGCTCATATGCTGGTTTCTGTTGTATATAGAATAATCTGATTAGACGCCCATAACTGCGGTGGCACTGCACTCACACGCACATTCTTCAGCCTCACGCGTGCGTGCGTTTGGCAAATCGTGACACCCTATTGGTTGAAGAGGCATGTAACACGCGCGTACCACCTGTCCACGAGCATTGTGCCACCACAGTAATGGCTTCTAATTCTGCTGGTCAAATTACACTATTAGCTCTTCTAATCAAGAACAAATATTAAACAGCTGAAAAATTGTGAAAGGATGCATCAAACAGGTATCCATTAAATGAGGCCTGTCTCAAAGGGAGTACGCTATTCAAATGCAAAAGAGGATAATACAAAAAGAAGGAATGTAGTAAAGAAATGTTCAGTGTGCACTCATGGACACGTCCTGTTTTTAAAAGCACTGAATGTACACAGGTGAAAAGGTTTAGGCTTGTTCTGAGATGGGAAGAGGATGATAAATTGACAGTTTCTTGGGGGGCCCACTTTCCCTTCTTTAGTTCCTGGTTTCAAGATTGCTTTTACTTCTTTGACGCTAGTAAATAGTCTTGAAATATGAGCCGGCCACAGGTGAAATCCACTCCCACCCAGACATTTTGCCCAATATCATCACAACGGATTTCATTTGTACCAGGCATAGACAAGTCTTATAGCGATATCTTACAATCATTCCGACACCAACATTTTGAAAACTGGACATACTGTTAATGCAAAAATGTTTCAAGGCAGGTCACTGTTCCGAGACAGGTCAGCCAAAAATGTTTACTTTTCCCACTAATGTGCTCAAAGTACATGGGCTGACAAACATGAGATTATGAACTACAGATGGCCTTGGGATGGCACTGAAAATGCCTGGCTCTTCCATCCTTGTCTACCCGGATCCTTCAGAAACACCCAGGAGGTTTCCAGATGATCCTGCCGGATTCAGGAAGACAGGTGCAAGCTAAACATGACTTTGGGAAGGGACCTTACACCTTACGGTAGTCACACATGTAGAAAGAATTTGCAAATTGTTTCCTGCACATTGGGGGATGTGAAGGGATTCAGGAAGGTACCAAACTACAGAATGTCAAGGAAGTGGAAGTTGAAGACCGGAAGTGCACCCATTTGTCATCAGTGACCAGTTGAACAAATCTACACCCTTAAATCTAAACTTGGAGAAAGATTACAATTTTCTCATCCTGTACAAAGTACATAATAATGAAAAGTAGGTGAATAGCTGGAAAGTTGAAAGTTATTCAATTCGAGCTAACGGACAGATAAAAAGGAACTGATCTGAGAAAAATAATAAAATTAGTTAAGAAGTCACTTTGGAGAGATTATTACGCAGCTTTACTTAAGCTTCAAGGAACAATTAAATGTAGAATGAGTAAATCAAACAGAATTAGAAAAGCACACTAACACAGAAAGCTCCTATTAAAAGACACATCCCGAAATGTACGAATGTCAATGTGGGATACAGGAGGCGCCTCTTTCTCTGGAAGGCAAAAAATGTGTTCACTGAACACTCTGAGCTTGGCAAATATAAACCTTTTGCCTCAAATTTTCCTCCTCCCCAGCGTGAAATGGAAGCCATTGTTTTACTTTTAGAAGGCAAGTTCACTCTTGGGGACATTTCGATATGCTTGTTACAAGGATGCTAAATTGCACCACTATCTTATGGCAGTGTAAACTCTGAAAGTATAACTTTAGAAGAAGTTAAGGAATGCTTATCAAAATTAGTTTTATTAACAGAATGTCAATATGTATATTCCCCATGGGACCATTAAAAATTTTCACTGCTCTAAAAAATTTTGAATTTTGTTCCAAATTGGTCTGACCTACCTATTCCAACTTTTCTATATTAAAAGCCGACTATTCGATGAAATTATCTCAAAAATTTTGATTTAATACCAAATTCATGATTTCCGATTCATGAAATAGCAATTTTCTATTTTCTTCACCCTGCCCACCAACAATGTTTGGGCTAAAATCACACTTTAAAATCATTATTTTTAATGGCCCCAGGTATTAGGAAGCTCTAGATGCATGTACATACATGTAGATATTGGAATTTAGTTACTGAATTGAAGAGTTTGTTGTGTGAGAGCTGCATGAGGTCAAATAGGGCATGGGACAGGGTAGAGGGCAAGCCACACGAAGCAATCTTTCCTGGCAACCCAAGAGGCATCCCACTGCACTGCATGCAGCACGGGAACAAACTTTTACCTTATCAAAATAGAGGAATTTTGCAATTCCCTTCCTTCTAAGAGTGTACAAAAACCTTCTAAATTTTAGTCTCGTTCGTAAGAATGGCCATAATAAGTCAATTTTTTTATAATTTGTTGCCCTCTCAAAACAAATTTTGCCCCCCTCCAAAAAGAAATGTTTGTGAATCTGTCCCTGCATGACCTTACATTAAATTTTACGCGACAGTTCATAGAAATTAATTTATTCTATAAGAAATCAAATTGTAAGAGAGCAATTTTGTTTATGAAGACTGCCTGAAACCAGTGGCCTGCATGTATTGCTTTGTGCACCACAGCCCGGGGAAGAGGGGGGGACAACTACCTATCAACACATTGATGACAAATGTGCAGTCGGCCTGGTTCCCCGCTCCATCGGTGAATGTATAGACAACGGTTGTGGAGCCCGGGGGGAACGTGAACCCAGGGCTGTGGGTCTTGTTCAACGTGGGCTCCAGTCCCGAATCGTCAATGGCGAAGGGCTCTCGCCACGTGAAGAAGATGCCCAGGTTGATCTCGGACAGCAGCAGCATCAGGGTGGAATCGGAGGGACAGTCGAAGACCATGGGCGGCAGGTCCACTGGACGTGGACACCGCCGGGGGGGGGGGGAAAGCCAATGTGCACATTGAACTGATCAGCTGAATCAAGATCAAGATCTTATTGTTTTAATGTACCAAGAAGTAACATGCCACTCAAAGATTTCCAAATGCAACAGTTTTTTGTGCAACAACGATACTTGATATCTCAGTTCATCATGCGGCCTAAGAATTTTATAGAGTTTCTGAGCACAGTGATGTGCTGGGCAAAAGGAATATTTGTTCGGCCAAAATTGGTTACCAACCGAAGTGTCGTGAATTGTGCACTTCTTGCAACTGGTTCTCTGCTGAATTTTGCTTTCAACAATAAAGAAGCAGTCTGTCACGTGCCATTTGCGAATTATTATGTTTGTTTGAGGGAATAAAAGTACTCGAGTTTTAAAGCCAGGTGCTTTACACCTAGCCTTATAAAAAGTCTGGACTCAGTGAATGCTGTATATTCTGAGAGAACCATTATTTCAAATCAAAAGCTGGAGAGTCGTGTTTGAATTGCACCCAAATTCAGCATCCAAGACATCCTCTCATTGAGCTTATTGCAGCTACATGTATGATGGCACTTAAAATGAGTATGCACCATGCGGCCGGAACAGGTTGGAATCACAGGACTCCATCAGACTGAGATCATACACGGCTTAAAATCATTGGAACTCATCTGTACTTATTAGAGCCACATCTTTTCAATTTTCCTCCTTGTCACAACACGGTCAGCCGCTAAAGTTCAGAAAGTGTGCTCTCTTTCGTGAACTCAGCTCGATCTTGCAGGCTCAGTGTCTCCCTGCTACGGCTACTGAAACAGAATGTAGTTATCGTTGACGGCCCATTAGCCATAAACAGACCCTTTCTAGGAAAAAAAACTTGAGCACAGTGAAGATTTTCGGCTGACTGGTCCAAAATTTACACCCAAGAGAGCTGAGAGAGAGCAAGGGGGGAAAGAAAGAATCTCAACAAATAGGGTACATGTTGGCAGACTGAGCCAATGACTCTCATCGGTCACAGGTTGAGCTTAGGTGTTGTCGTAGACATCCATTACAAGACCTTTCACAAGGCACAAGCCAATCCCAAGTAACAAGGTGAATAACCACATGAATGCTTTTGCTGCATTTCACTTGAATAGCTTGTGACTTAAATTCAGACTGGAGGTCTTGCCCTTGTCTGATGTCTGGTTTTGTATCTGGCCATGAGGTGTTTTTGCTACAACCCCGTTAAGCATGGCCTATGGGTCTGCTCATAGCTTTGACATAGGAAACACTTTATTAACGAGTGCCAAAATGGCCCCATCCAAGACAGAATGAGAAAAAGGAAAAGACACAAAGTCCTACCTGGGGCGAGCTTGACAAAGAAGATGCAGAGGGCCTCGTTTCCGGCTGCATCAGTGAAGGTGTAAACCACCATGGTCACGTTCTCCGTGAAGACGTTGCCCGACTCATGGGTCTTGGTCACGGTGGGCACCTGCCCGGAGTTGTCAGTGGCTGTGGGCTCGTCCCAGCTGGCCACATTGGTGCCGGGGGGAAGGTTGATGACCCCGGGGCAACCGCTAACGACTGGTGAGATGTCATCTGATGAAAATAACCAACCGGAAAACTAGGTACACCACTTTAATCCAGATTCATGTGGCGAGGCAAAAAGCTATATTAGCCAAAATTGCCATAAGCTGTTCAATCAATTAGGATAATTTACAAGTACAGTTGGGAAGGAAGACTTGTCACCATTCAGAAATACTCTTCTTGGAACACGGGGGCATGTAGCCTGGTGGTTAGGGTTTGTAGCTTCCAATCATAGGGTCAGGGGTTCAAATCCAGCTGCTGGCAGCATGTTGTGATCCTGGGCAAGTCACTTTAACCCCTATGTGCCTCTCTCCACCCAGGAGTAAATGGGTGTCTGTGAGGGCAGACAGGAGGCATGTGGCCAAGTTGTTAGGGTTTGTAGCTTCTGATCATAGGGTCAGGGGTTCGAATCCAGCTGGTGGCAGCATGTTGTGATCCTGGGCCTCTATCCACCCAGGAGTAAATGGGTACCTGTGAGGGCAGATGTGGTTATTATGTTCAGCTGTTTGCACCTGATTTGGCAGCAATGGGCTAGTATACTCAACATGGAGCTGAGATGGTTTCAGGAATGTTCAGGCGTTGTCAGTCCAATGAGCAAGGATAATGATAATGCGGTTACGTCTGTCATGTCTGTGCCTTTGAATTCCATATACTGTGAGATGCTGTATGCTTTAATATACATGCTTTGATGTTATTGTTATTCGCTCCAAGCGGAACAAAAGAGGACGTTTTTGGTTTTTTTTGGTACCCACCACATAGACGCACCACAAGGCGTGCAAGTATATGTGTGTTTGACACGTAGCGCGCTGAGTACTTATAACTAATTTATTCCAGCATATATGGTCCTTGCGTACACATGTGCAAGAACCTGCTTGAAACCACCTGTCTTTCTTTTTGCCAATTGGGGGTGCACTTAAGCTCGGGGCGGATTGGAGCATTCATTCAGTGCAATCTCTGCAGACATGTCTTAGAAAAAAACAGAGACTTCTTGGAAGCATTACAAAAACCTTGCTGCTGTTTTTGGTTGTATTTCCACGGTACGCACAGCCGTTGACATGATAGTTTGGTTGAATAAGCCTTTTGGGAGTTAAATTTGAATAAAGTCTGGTACACTGAGTTCTTTAAATTCACGTGAACACAATAATTTTAATTCTCCATGCTAAAGACACTGTTGCTACATGTATACCTCATGATTTGAGGCAAGCGTTTCCTAAGTTAAGCAAGAGACGTCTTGCCTTAATACACTGCTTTTAATGGGTAAAAAGGGGGAAACAAAGGAACCAGACCATTCCAGAGATGGCGGTCGCTAAGCAAAAGCTTGCCCCAAATCACGAGGTATAGCAACAGTGTCTTCAGTCTGGGGAATTTCAAATTGTTGTGTTTGTGTGCAATCAGATATCTCAGCGTACCAGATTTTATAAACTTCAACTTGCATAAGGTTAATTAACTATTTGGAGACAGCACTTTGTTACAAGTAAGTGATGCAAGGGATGATTGATGGGTGGAAAAGATGAGGAGAACTGAGACAAACAGAGTTGTACTTCACAGATTAAGATCAATTCGTGCTTCCCAATGTAAATGATAGAATAAATCTGACACCCCTAAACGAACCCGTTACGTGCTGAACTTCTTTGAATTCACAGTGTAAGTACGTGCTGTAACAACACAGTCCTAGTTGTACTTGTGGATAAAAACTAGTCAATAGAGCGCTGTGGTTGTGGGTCTTTAACTGCCACTCATAAACACCTGGGACGGTTTTTCTATTCCTATTGGTCGAAACGCGTCACGTGACCATGTGTCAACATTTGATGATGTCCGCTGTGAAGTGATAATGCCTGCTGCATAAATTACACCCTGGCACATGGATACAAGGCAGTTTAATCGGGTCTGATTGGTCAGAGTCTGATGTGCCGTGCCATTCGCGCGCCAAGTTCATTGAAGGGGATTATATTGGACAACTTTCAAAAGGAATAAAATGGATGGGGTGTTCAGGAAAATGAAAAGTAAAATTTTAGAACGAAATCGTTGGAAATGCATTATGTGTTGGCTTCTTTTGACTCTCTGAATAAAAAGGTATTTATGAATGGATATACATATGTGTTTCGACTGTTTAAGAAATAAATTTATGAAATAACCACCACCGATTTCTTTCTAGATGATACTCCAAAGGTGACAAGAGTAAAAGCTACATTCCACTTTTAGGGACGCAGAATAGAACAAACCTGAGTCACCAACAAAGAGCAAGCTTGGGATTGTACAATATAATCATTCAAATTTCAATTTGTTTGAACGACGTTGTCTCGAGTGTACGCACCTTGCAGACGAATCACAAAGAACACGCAGTTGGCCTGGTTCCCTGAGATGTCTGTGAATGTGTAAGTCACCAGTGTCACGTCATCTGTGAAGTCCGCCCCTGGCTGGTGTGAACTGGCCACGCTGGGGGCCTGGCCTGAATTGTCAGTGGCCGTGGGCTCTGTCCAGCTAGCTGTGTCATTGCCGAATGGTATGCTGATGTTGGACGGGCAGTTCATGACAAGAGGTGCAACGCTATCTATAATCCCCCCCCCAAAAAAAATTAAATTGGTCATTAATCTGATTATCGCCTGGGCCCATTTGAAAAAGCTGAGCAGTGAAATACACAAACTTGTTGGGTAAATTTCATTAGAAAACAAAGTACTAATCCAAAACAATAAACAGCTTTACATTGTCTGTACATTTTCTTTGAACCAACTCCTTAAAGGGTCCATGATTATATAGGAGTATAATTAGGAAAAAGCCAGCAGAATATCCAATGTTCGGGCAAATTTCACAGAAGAAATTGCTGTAACACTTAGGTTTCTGCCTTGGATGACATCACACTTTTGCTCATCAATATGCAAATTTACATTAGCATAAATATCCAAAAGGCACCAAAATGCCCAAGAAAAGGCACAATCAAAAATACAGCATCAGGCTAAAAGGGACTTAAAAGAGCATCTACACAAATTGCAAAATTTAGGAATTCAGCAAAAGTTAGAAAGATCTGAAGAAAACTGATACATACTGACGACATGCACATTTCTCTAGAGACTTGAACAAGTACCGCCTGGATCACATTTCACAGGATACTATCTTGCTCGGCACATTTATATGCCACAAAAACTGAGCAGGGCACCATTTACAAGCAATACACATACAACGACTATTTGGTCGGTAACCAGCTTTGGCTGATCAAGTAGTTACTACTCATATCAACTGTCAGAGCTTTGCTGCTGTGATGAAATTGGCTACAGGGGAACATGTGAGAGACCATCTTCCAAAGCCACAAACTAAACCCCAGCGAAGGATTTTCGTAAACAGGCAAAACCACGAACTCACCCACAACCACAGTTACAATGAATGAGCAGTTGGCCTGGTTCCCTGCCGCATCAGTGAATGTGTACAGGACCGTAGTATTTCCTTCAGGGAAGTCGGTGCCAGCCTCGTGAGTTTTGGTGACGCTCAGCGGTTGGCCTAAGTTGTCGGTAGCTGTGGGCTCAGTCCAGTTTGCCAGAGTGGAGGCTAACGGCAGCAAGATGTCGGCAGGACAGTTGCTGATGACTGGTGGTATTGTATCTTTGATGATAAAGGATTTTAAAAACTGAAGTAATGACTAGAACCGTTGTCAATTTAGAAAAATTTAAATCTTCAAATGACAGGAAGAGCGAGTAGCAGTCGGTACCAGTAACTCTGTGGTGACCTTGTGCAAGTCACTTCACTCGTACTTGTCTCTCTCCATCCAAGAATGTAAACAGGTATTTGTGAGGGTAGAGGCCATGGGCGTCATGGGGGGAGGGAAACTGGGGGGGTATCCCCCCAAAGTAAAAAAGGTAAAACAGACAAATAAGTTAGAAACAGGAAAGAGGGAAGGAGAGTAAAATTCACTGATTTGCTTAAAAAAGACTTGTAACTGACCCCCTTCCACTGTTGATAGTTTGCCAGACGGCAGTCAATGAACGCTCCCGAAAAAAAAATCCTGACACTGTCCATGGTAGAAACATGACACGCGGCTATCACTGAGATTTTCATTCCTTGAAAAATCCCCTGAGAAGACCACTTTTAAGAGAATGACTTACCAACTGCTACAGTGACTAGAAAAGTGCAGTTTGCCTGGTTCCCTGCTCCATCAGTAAACGTGTACGTCACAGTGGTATCTCCTACTGGAAAACTGTCGCCCGGCTCATGGGACTTGAGAATAGACGGCAGAGCTCCAGAGTCATCAGTAGCCATCGGCTCAGTCCAATCAGCGACAGTTATTCCCAGTGGCAGAGTGATATCAGCTGGGCAATTGCTAATGACGGGCGGTGTTACGTCAGTTGACACTTAAAAAAAAAAATGCAGAATTCAAATGTATCAATTTACAATGATACAGCTCAGGAACACTTCCATGTTAGACCATCACAACTTTTGACTTTCACAGACACTAATAAGCTAAAAAGGGGAGCCTGTTAATTAGGAGGGCATTTACAAAGGAACAGGGATTCTGTGCCTCGGGGAAAGAGGCGGCTCAATCTATCTTCCTGCAGCTCTAACAGAATTCAATTTTTTTTATACAGGTGGCAGATACAAATTCTGCAAGGAGTTTGTGGGTTTGGGCGAGTGTTATGTGAAGTTTAAACATATCCCCCTCCTTATGTTTGCTTTCCGATTGTTTTAAATCAACGTCACGTTTTGAGCACTCCTTGCTAGGATCTAGATCATTCACTAATTGTTGAAGACCCAGCTAACCTGCCGACATTGTAAGCTCCTGTCTTTGCCAATACAGCCTACAGAAACGTTGTCTGGTCCCTCATTTAAGAAGTATATAAGTTACAAGGTGCCGGTAGCATTACTCAGTAGAATTGGGAAATCCTTCTTCTTATTCGCAGTAACAGAGAAAGGAGTAACAGGTCTGATGGTCTGAGTTATAAGAAGCCAATGCTTTCTGGTAAATTAAACTGAGACCAGATTGACAATTGGAAAATTTTTCCTCACTATCAAAGGGTCATTTTTGTAAACTTGAACAAGAAGTTAAAGCCTTAAAGTTTGGAGGTTTGACTTTTTTCTTTGTGGATTTTTTACAAGAGTGCCAAGAGCCTTTTTGGTCAAGTAAGACTCTTCATTTATTCTGTTAAAATCCTGGTAGTCAAATGGGCTTGACAATGACCGTATTTCAACCATTATTATGTGAAAAAGAAGCAACCTTCTGTGACTGATCAGAAGTCTGCCCTGGTCTTGATTAAACAGCATCAAAAACCACTCAATGAAATAACTATACCACGGACGGTGAAGACACACTCAGCCGTGTTGCCAGCAGCATCGGTGAATGTGTAGGTGACATTAGTTGATCCATCGGCAAAAACAGCTCCAGGTTCGTGGGATTTGCTGACCGCCGGAACTAAGCCTGAGTCATCTACGGCCGTAGGCTCTGTCCAGTTGGCCACGTTCTGACCAACACGCAGACTGATGTCAGACGGACAGCCGGATATAACGGGGGCCGTGACATCAAGGGGAACTATAAGTATATCGGTTAAAGCTTAATGAGTATTCAAATGACAAACTCGAGATTCAATTGCAGAAATGCAGGACCTTTTTAGAGGCTTTTCTTGACTGAGGTACGATATTCCCTTTTGACGAATCAGAAACTGAATTTAAAAGCTTGACTCTGAACCATTTTTCCCCAAACTAGAGACACACAATTCCTCTAGTCTGGGGTACCTTCCACTTGGCAAGTTAGGAAAGTTGAATGAAATTGGATGAGACAGTCAATACATTTCAGACCCAAACTCTGATGTTTTTGTGAAAGCAAGGCAAAAACATTGGATGTATTACAAAACATCTTGCTAAATGAGAGGAGGGATGGAGATTGACATTCAAAGACTGGACTCCAGGAAAAGAACCTTTTGGTACTGAACCTTTGAAAAGCTACTCCATAAACAACTGTAGATTGCAAGGATATGAGAAAAGACCTCACCTGTTGTGAAATCTAGGCTGACTGGTTCACTCACAACCTCGTTCTCTGTGCCAAGAGCCACAGCAGTAGAAACTGACACCGTGTAGTTATTGCCAGGTATGAGGCCAGGTATGTTTAGAACGCTTTCCGTTGACGGAATTGAAACATCGACTGTTAAAACCTGGCCCTGAACTTTCACCACGTAGGTGTCAAAGGTGACGTTAGGAGGGACCAAAACAAACAAGGCGGAGGTGGTTGTGACATTGATCAGGCTGACAGACACCAGCGGTTCAAGAACTGAAAATGAAAACCAAAAGGTATTGGTTTTTCACGCTATTATAGAGAAGACCACCACCCTTTTGCAAAAAGAAACAAGCACAGTCAAAACATTCTGATATTACGGCACCACTGCCACCTCTATTGAGGCTGAAAGCACATCATGCAGATTTCACATTATATGTAGTTTCAGAGTATATCTGCTGTGCATTACACAAACAAATACCAGGATAACTTCAAGTGTTGTAGTCGAGACCATCTCAAGACCAGTCGTAAGCAACAGGGTGAACCATGACAAAGGAATGCTTTTGTTGCAGTTCATTTGAATTGCTTGTGACTGAATTCAGCTGGTCTTGTGTGGTCTTGTGAGGGTCTTAAGTGGTCTCGACTACAACACTGGTAATTTCACTCTGACAGGAACTATGCATATAACAACCTCAGAGAGATACCGTTAGTTTGTGCAACGTACCGATATTCTTGAAAACAGCTTGGAATGGCACAATTCATTTTTAAAAATTCATTCCACACTGAGTAAGAGGCCCTTTTGCACAGTTATTTTTCCTTAATATTGTACATATTACAACATTCTCAAACATGTACTCTATGTAATGTGCCATACAACAAAAATTGGGCCGTTTTCCAATACTCAACTTCGGCTTCATTTCAAGCTTCAACTGTTCTTTGACTAGCTGACTTTGAAGCTGTAAGCACAGAAATCAGTCTAATAGTGCCATAGAACATCAAATAAGATGCAAGAAAGCCAAAAATTACAGGAATCCAATGTAATTTAAACGCTTCAGGCTAACAATCTGGGATTGGTTTGGGGAACGAAGCCTGAGATGGAGACGAAGTTGAGTATTGGAAAATGGCCATAGACTACTTCATCTTCCGGTATTGTATCTAGCCTCATGTAATGAAGTGGTATTAAGCAAACGATTTACCCTCAGGAAAATAAAATAAGCAACTGATCACCTCTAAAAACTTGATTCAACATATGACTCAAAGCAGTCAATATTGAGACATTATCTGCACTTCTGCAACTATTGGGAAACACTCACCCAAGATCCGCTTGACAATAAAGACACACTCAGCTGTGTTGCCGGCTGCATCAGTGAACATGTAGGTGACGTTAGTCAATTCATCAGCAAAGACAGCTCCAGGTTCGTGGGATTTGCTGACTGTCGGAACTAAGCCCGAGTCATCTACGGCCGTAGGCTCTGTCCAATTGGCTACATTCTGACCAGCAGGCAGGGTGATGTCAGATGGACAGCCAGATATCACAGGACCAGTGGTGTCCAGGGTCTCTGGAAATGCAAAAGGTAACTGGTTATGCTTTATGAGTGCTTGAAAACAACATGAGTTCATTTTTTTTGCTGCAGAATTTTACCTCATCAACTCTCGACTAAGGAAAATATTTTTCTTTTGAAAGAAAAAGCAATATACATATATGAAGTACATTAAAAGCATGAAAAACTTGTAATTGGCGGTCCTTTTCATCTGAAAACAGTAAATTGCACATTCTATTATTCTTGATAAATCTAAATTATGTAGAAACTATTAGTTTATTTATTGTAATTTGCCAAAACACACAATAATATCTCCAAATAGGTCACTTGAGACATTTCAATGTCTCCCTAATGCTCCAACAACCAAAAGGAGGAAAATTTTTATTGTCCACATTTTTGAGAGATGATAGATTAGGGTCTGAAAGAAAAACATGCAAAACGTGCAAAGTTTGGTTAAGATTGGATTAGGGAATATTGAATTATGGGACGATAAAGTTTGAAAAATTTTGTGCACATTCCTATGGGAATGTCTCCCAAGTGAACCATTTTCGGTAATTATAATTTGGAAGGAAAATTCTGGAATCTTTACAAATTCATCTAGCTGCTTGACCCAGGAGTTGAAAGGACAACAGAAATAATGAATTTTGGTGGCACTATTCATTTTACCAGTAACAGGGGACGTCAAGGATTAAAAAAACCAAATCTCACCCGTTGTGAAATCTAGGCTGACAGGTTCACTGACAACCTCGTTCTCCGTGCCAAGAGCCACAGCAGTAGAAACTGACACAGTGTAGTTATTGCCAGGCATGAGGCCGGGTAAGCTTAGAGTGTTTTCCGTTGACGGAATTGAAACATTATCCATCGATACCTGGCCCTGAACTTCGACTAAGTAGGTGTCAAAGGTGACGTTTGGAGGAACCAAGGCAAACATGGCAGAGGTGGTGGTGACACTGATCAGGCTGAAGGACACTGGTGGCTCGAGAACTTAAAAAGAAGCATACAGTCAAGATTTTAGAGCAAATTTCGAGAAAACTCCTGACAGAAAAAAACAAGTAACAGTAGCCAAAACGTTTCGATGTTATCTTCCCTCTATCTGCAGCAATGAGGAAAACCACTCACCTAATATTCGCTTGACAGTAAACACACACTCAGCCGTGTTGCCAGCTGCATCGGTAAATCTATAGGTGACGTTAGTCAATTCATCCACAAACACAGCTCCGGGTTCGTGGGATTTGCTGACCGAAGGATCTAAGCCTGAGTCATCTACGGCCGTAGGCTCTGTCCACATGGCCACATTCTGACCAGCAGGCAGGGTGATGTCAGATGGACAGCCAGATATCACAGGGGCCGTTAGGTCAAGGGGAACTATACACAGAGGCAATACAGATGAAATGGAGTAAAAACATGAATACGGGTGATTCACAGTAGTGCACCACCAAGAGTTTGCAACATGGTGGCCAATCATAACACGCAAAATTTGTCCACCCTTTCCAAACACGCATTAGGTCGACAAATTTCGCTCACTGTGATTGGTTAATGTATTGCAAACTCTTGGTGGCGCACTATTGTGAAACGGCCGTATTGGACAGCATCATGAAAAGATGTCTAATATGCAGTATCTCTTTGTGCATATCTCCCCGTAGGAGTGATCTCTATGTAGATCTGCTCCAAAATGAAGAAAAACAAGAACGGCAAAGCCGCCATGGCTCACTGCTTGTTATGAATTTGAATTTCTTTCTTGTAATAACAGGAAAGAGACATCCAAGTTATACAAATATGGTTACTAAATTAAACAAGAAAATACTAACCAAGCTCCATCAAAATTTGTTACAAGATTGGTTGACATACGACTGCAATACAGATGTACAAGATATTTATTGACCTTAGCAATACAATTCATTGCATTCTAGGAAAAAAAAACCGAGTCAGTGCTGTGTGCAGACTGTGTGTTGAAAGGCACCTGTCATTTAAAAGTTAATCAACAAAGACCACCACCAAGGGAGATACAGGTACAAAGGCTTCACAGTTCTTGACAGGAGAGAGGAATGCCTATAGAATGTGGGCCCAGCTAGTACAGTCAGACTAGACCTGGATGATTATATAAGCAGTGCATTTGTGAGTTTGATGGATGGTGCATAATTAAAATTCCTCTAAAGTACATGTACAGCTCCGCACTTTGTATACAACCCCATCATCCTATCTATTTT